TAATTTGTTAAGCATGCATTTCTTTTGAATTTTTTGTTGCTATTCTGTCTCTCAGTGTTACAATACACCTACCATTCGATTTTTAGACTGATCATTTCTTTGTGAGTGGGCAAACATTCAAAATCAGCAGGGGATCAAATACTTATTTCCTTCACTATATATATATATATATACATATACTGTATATATACATAAAAATTTGTCATTCTTATTTAGGAAATATCTACCTAAAGACAGTTCTTTTATTTGAACAAAATAACAAATTGGTAGTAGAAAAAGGCACAGAATTCCATCAAGTCATCACAGCAATGTTTCAAGCTGTTCTGGGCTCTTTCTCAAACTTGGAGCATGATGTAGTGCAGATTTTTTATTTATCCTGTATATACAGACCTGCATATCTCCTTTGTGAGAGCATGATTGCACAAACAGATGAACTATAGGGTCCAATGGTCTTTATGGCAGCTACAATACACTCCTCTCATATTTGCTTGTAAAGAGTACACCCATGTGGAAAAGGATGTACTTAACCGTTTTCCCGCTCGCTGCCCTATAGTAGATAACCTGTTACAGGGCGGCAGGGGTGCGCAAAACCACTTATATATACGTGAATTTGCACTTAGGGTTAGGGGGCGCATGCGAGCCACGTGCGCACCCTACCCGCGCCGCTTTTCACGGCCTCAGCTGCCAATCACCGGTACCTGGCCAGTGATTACTCACCAGTACCCGGTGATCACCTAGCATTACCAACAGAGGGAGAGAACTGTATGTAAACAATACAGATCTCTCCCCTGTCAGCTCCTGCACACTGTTTTGTATAGCTTTGCATAGCAGAGTCATACAAATCAGTGTGCTTCTAGTTGAAAGCACTAACACAGCACACAGTAATACAGAACACAGTTAACCCTTTAATCGCCCCACATGTAAACCCCTTCCTGCCCAGTTATAAATATTCTTCTTATTATTATTATTATACAGGATTTATATAGCACCAACAGTTTGCTCAGCGCTTTACAAAATAAAGGGAGACAATACAGCAATACTACAGTTCAATACAAGAGGGTTAGGAGGGCCCTGCTCCTTGGAGCTGCCCAGTGCCATTTGTACAGTGTCAGTGCTTTTTATTAGCACTGATCACTGTATTGGAGTCACTGGAGATGTCAGTGACACCAATTCAGTCCCCCGCAGTATCAGAATGCCTGCTGCAGTCCTGCTACAAGTTGCTGATCGCCGATATTACTAGTAAAAATAAAAAATAAAAAATAAAAATCCCAGTATCTATACCGCCATTTGTAAACGCTATTACTTTCACATAAACCAATTCATTTACACGTATTGGGATTTCTTTTTTTTTTTAGCAAAGACATGTAGCAGAATACAGGTGAAACTCAAAAAATTAGAATATCGTGCAAAAGTTAATTTATTTCAGTAATACAACTTAAAATGTGAAACTAAGATATGAGATAGACTCATTACATGCAAAGCAAGATAGTTCAAGCCGTGATTTGTCATAATTTTGATGATTAAGGCTTACAGCTCATGAAAACCCAAATCCACAATCTCAGAAAATTAGAATATTGTGAAAAGGTGCAATATTCTAGGATCAAAGTGTCCCACTCTAATCAGCTAATTAAGCCATAACACCTGCAAATGGTCTCTCAGTCTGGTTCACTAGGAATCACAATCATGGGAAAGACTGCTGGCCTGACAGTTGTGCAGAAAACCATCATTGACACCCTCCACAAGGAGGGAAAGCCTCAAAAGGTAATTGCAAAAGAAGTTGGATGTTTCCAAAGTGCTGTATCAAAGAACATTAATAGAAAGTTATGTGGAAGGGAAAGCTGTTAAAGAAAAAGGTGCAAAAGCAGCAGGGACGACCACAGCCTTGAGAGGATTGTCAGGAAAAGGCCATTCAAAAGTGTTGGGGACTTTCACAAGCAGTGGACTGAGGCTTGAGTCAGTGCATCAAGAGCCACCACATACAGACGGATCCTGGACATGGTCTTTAAATGTCGTATTCCTCTTGTCAAGCCGCTCCTGGACAACAAACAATGTCAGAAGCATCTTACCTGTGCTAAAGAAAAACAGACTTGGTCTGTTGCTCAGTGGTCCAAAGTCCTCTTTTCTGATGAGAGCAACTTTTGCATTTAATTTGGAAACCAAGGACCCAGAGTATGGAGGAAGAATGGAGAGGCACACACTGCTAGATGCTTGAAGTCCAGTGTGAAGTTTCCACAGTCTATGTTGATTTGGGGAGCCATGTCGTCTGCTGGTGTTGGTCCACTGTGCTTCATTAAGTCTAGGGTCAACGCAGCCGTCTACCAGGAGATTTTGGAGCACTTCATGCTTCCTTCCGCAAACGAGCTTTATGGGGATGCTGACTTCATTTTCCAGCAGGACTTGGCACCTGCCCACACTGCCAAAAGCACCAAAATCTGGTTCAATGACTGTGGGATTACTGTGCTTGATTGGCCAGCAAACTCGCCTGACCTGAACCCCATAGAGAATCTATGGGGCATCGATCAGAGACATGAGACCGAACAATGCAGAAGAGCTGAAGGCCGCTATTGAAGCATCCTGGTCTTCCATAACACCTCAGCTGTGCCACAGGCTGATAGCTTCCATGCCACGCTGCATTGAGGCAGTAATTGCTGCAAAAGGGGCCCAAACCAAGTACTGAGTACATATGCATGCATATACTTTTCAGAGGTCCGATATTGTTCTATGTACAATCCTTGTTTTATTGATTGCATGTAATATTCTCATTTTCTGAGATTGTGGATTTGGGGTTTTTATGAGCTGTAAGCCTTAATCATCACAATTATGACAAATCACAGCTTGAACTATCTTGCTTTGCATGTAATGAGTCTATCTCATATATTAGTTTCTCCTTTTAAGTTGCATTACTGAAATAAATGAACTTTTGCACAATATTCTAATTTTTTGAGTTTCACCTGTACATTTTGGACTAAATTTATGCCGAAATTTGATTTTTTAAATTTTTTTACTGGACATGTTTTATAGCAAAAAGTCAAAAATATTGTTTTTTTTTGTTTTTTTCTCAAAATTGTCGATCTTTTTTATTTTATATAGCGCAAACAATAAAACCGCACAGGTGATCAAATACCACCAAAAGACATCTGTATTCGTGGGGAAAAAAAAGGACGTAAATTTTATTTGGGTGCATGACCGCGCAATTGTCAAAGTAACGCAACGCCATAACGCAAAAAATGGCCTGGTCAGGAAGGGGGGTAAATCCTCTGGAGGGCAAATGGCTAATCATTACCAGTCACAATCAAAGAGTGCAATAGATACGGCCACAGCAATCACCTTAGATTTCTATGGAGACATTCACCTTCGTGCAGTCAATTTACATTTAACATATTAGTGCTCATCCATAAAGAACTCCCTTTAAAACATACAATTTGGTCCTAAATACGTAATATGATTATTTACCTTTTGTTTGTGGTACCCGACATGCTTTACAAAGTTTTGGGCCTGTCAAAAAAAAAAATGAAGCGTTTTCAGATCGCATTTGACTACTGTCCGCTCTGGACAACAAACTAATCTTCACACATGCCCACATACAGTATATATCATCATATTCTCTGTATATTGTTTGCTCCATTTTTCGCAGACATACAAAAAGCATCTGAGGAACATATTTTGTTGTGAAAGGGTGTATATTTGAATGTGGAAAGGGAGGGAGGGGGGGTTCCTTGAAGGTGTAAGGCTTGGGGTTGATTGGGATTGAGATTGTAGGGAGGGAGGCAGGGCCAGCAGGCTGTCTCTAGGTTACATGGAACACAATGAGGATTCGGCATCTGTTCCTCTCACTCTGTCTGCATCACAATGCCAGAAAAATACTAATTGCACACAGCAAGCGCAGGCTACACTGCATTGTGGGAAAGCTTGGCCCGGAAGTGTCAGTACCACCAATCCCTCACATAAATGTCTGGAAATCCACATTATGTTAAATAAGAAGTCCAGGACTTTTGAGTCATAAAAACGGTTTAAAAAAATGGTTTATGCACATTAACCAATCACACATTACACAAAAATCAGATATACATAATAATGTTAACCCCTTGACGCCGAGTGCACGCAAATATGCGGCCTCTCGGCATCTGGGCCTTGACGCCGATCAGTTGCGTGCAATTAGAAAATACATATGTGCTGAGAGAGTGCGCCCTGCGCACTCCCAGCACATATATCTCCGTGACTCACGGAAAGGTCCCGATCTCCCCTTTCGATCGGGACCTTTTCCAGTCATGTGACCGCTGTGACAGCGGATCACGGTGGTCACAGGACCCTAAAACCCCTCCTGGCTTCTGAAACTCTTAAAGGAACCGGGAGGCGCCGGCGCGAAGTGGTTAAAGTTGCTTCACCACTCACCCTCCTGAGGATTTACCTCCCTTCCTGACCAGGCCAGTTTTTGTGATACTGCATTGCGTTACTTTAACGGACAATTGTGCAGTCGTGCAACACTGCACCCAAATTAAAGTCCTTTTTTTTTCCACAAATGGAGCTTTCTTTCGGTGGTATTTGATCACCTGTGCGTTTTTTTTTTTTTTTGGGCTATAAACAAAAAAATATTGACAATTTTGAAAAACAATATTTTAGACTTTTTGCTTTTAAATATAAAAAAAAATTTAAAAAAACTAATTTCGTCATAAATTTTGGCCAAAATGTATTCTGCTACGTGTCTTTGCTAAAAAAAATCCCAATACACGTAAATTAATTGGTTTACGTAAAAGTTATAGAGTCTACAAATGGCGGTATATATACTGGGTCTTTGTTTTTAAAATTAATTTAGTAATGGAGGCGATCAGCTACTTATTGCGGGACTGCGGCGGGCATTCTGACACTGGGGAGGGAAAACTGACTAACTGCCACTGACATCCCCAGTGACACTAATACAGTGATCAGTGTTAATAAAAAGCACTGACACTGTCCTAATGACACTGGGAAGGAAGGGTTCAACAACCGGGGCCGATCAAAAGGTTAACTGTGTGCTGTTTCACTATGTGTGCTGTGTGTGTTTTTACTACGTAAGCATGCTGCTTTGTATTGTTCTGTCATGCAGGGCAATACACAGCAGCATGCTGGTGCTGTTTACACGCAGACCTCTCCCCTGTTAGTGTTCCTCAGCGATCGCTGGGTGCCTGCAGGGAATCTCCTACCAGGACCCAGTGATCGACAGCTGAAGCCGCCAATAGCGGCACGGGTAGGGAGGCTTGCACGCCCCCTACCTGGAGATGCGAAATTATATATATATATATATATATATATATATATATATACACACACACACACATGATTTTGTGCAGCCCTGCCGCCCTGTAGTATATACTACAAGAAATTTAAAGGATGTGCTGAAAAAGTATTTTCATGCAGATTGTGCTATTTTAGCAGTTAGCCAACAGTTGCTTCAGCAGTTGACGTTAGTCTTTGTATGTAAAGTGCAAGACAGCTCATGTGTGCCCCTTAGCACGTGGGAGTGCACTAAAATGTGATTGGGCAGACATTGCAGATTAGTGAATGATGGTAAAGAGCCAATGAGGATGGCTCCGTACCAAGTGATTGCTGTGGCCAATCACAGCAATCAAACCTGGCTTGCATCAGCTGCAGTTAGCAGCAGCTTTCACTGCCATCTCACACAGAAAAAGATGAGTAGGGAAAAAAATATTAGTGGTCTCCACCTGTAAAACCATTCCTGTTTTGGGAGTCATCTCATTCTTGCCCATTTAGTGCACCTGTTGTTAATTTCATTTAACACCAAAGCAGCTGAAACTGATGAACATCCCCCCTCTGCTACTTAACCTCCCTAGCGGTATGATTATTTCAGATTTTTGGTGCTGAAAGCGGTACCATTATTTTGCATGGAAATAAGTAGTTTTTTTTATTGTAGGCTGTAATTTTTAGGAATAACTCACTGAAATCTGTCCGAACAAGAGTCTATTAAACATCCCGGGTATGATAAAATTTGAAACACGAAATCATAAATTATAATTTAATAAATAATCATAAAAAATAATAATATAATAATAATACATTTAATTCAATAATATAATCAAACCGAAAACACTGAAATTTGAAATATAGCGCCAAGTTCGCACATTGCTGAGCAAAGTCGCAAAATCGTTTTCAGTGCCTGATGACGAATTTCCCCACAAATCATTATCACTCAATTCTGCAAGTGGTTCTGATTTACTATCGCTGTTCTCTAGCTGATCTAAACCCGCTTTTGACCTAAAGGGACACTTTTTGGACGCCATGGACATTTCTCAGTTTCCAGGCAGAAAGAACAGACAAAACGCAGGCAGGGCACAGGACAAAGCACTAGGGACAATATGTATGTGAAATGGGTTGAAACAGCAATGTTTTACTATGAAAAATGTGTTTTGAAAAAAATGAAATTTTTTTAAATTTTACAAATTTCTTGCCGGCGCCCATACGTCCCGACGTCACAGGGACCGGAACACAGAAGCCGGATGCCGGCATCGGCCAGAGGAGATGGCCGGGGACGCTGCAGGGGACACATCGCGGGAGCGAAGGACAAGGTAAGTGGTGCAGGGACTCCCTATGCAGCGCCGCATGGTAAGCCCGAGTGTAGCTCTGGGTTACCGCTTTTGGCACTGACATTTTACCCCGAACTACACTCGGGAATACCGTTAGGGAGGTTAACTGACCAGATCAATATCTCAGGAGTTTAATTGACTTGATGCTATACTGATTGAAAAGTGTTCCTTTATTTTTTTTGAGCAGTGTGTATATATATATATATATAGTAATTCTTATTTAGGAAATATCTCCTGAAGACAGTTCTTTTATTTGAATAAAATAACAAATTGGTAGTGTAAAAAGGCACGTAATTCCATCAAGTCATCACAGCAATGTTTCAAGCTGTGGAATAATGAATGATGGTATAGAGCCAATGAGAATGGCTTCGTACCAAGTAATCACTGTGACCAATCACAGCAATCAAACATTGCTTGCATCGGCTGCAGTTAGCAGCAGCTTTCACTGTCATCTCATACAGCAATTGCTGTGTGAGATGAAAAGGAAGTTCCTAATCGCAGCCAATACAGTAAAAAGTAATAAAAGTGTAACCAGTACCATAAACACTGACATACACCCCTCTAATGTCATCACCCCTCTACAGTATATGCCAGCCCTATCCTGTTTCTGATCTGAACTGTACAGAAAGCCTCCCTTATCCATCACATATGTGCATTAACCCCTCCCTCTCCATACCCCCACTGTATGTGACTTGTGCATTAATCCCTTCACCTTCTCCCTCCCTCTGTACTAATGTACTTATGCACCATTACCAAGTTCAGTGCTTTAATTCCCTCAATACTAGCATGTTTCCTTATTTCGAAAAAAATATATAAAATCAGATCACTTTGGGGCGTCTACTTTCCAAAAGTGTTTATTGTACTAATCTTGCATTTTCATGTTGTATGTTGGAAAAAATTATATACAATTCATTTGGCTACAGTGTTGCATGACTAGTTAATTGTCAGGCAAAGTACTACAGAGCTTAAAAAGGTTAGGTGGTTAAAAAATTAACTATTTCTCACTTTCTCACTTACCATCCAGGCGTTTGGTGCCCTTCAAGAGTATACTCATGATGTTCTCCAAGCACAGGTGTAGCGCTTACCACTGAAGGAGACTCTGGATGTATTGGGTCCTCTGTTCCTATGGTTCTGCAAATAGCATCACACAATCTGACACACCTGGCTGGGTGGGGAATATCTATTGCAGATGTATATACAGTACCCCGGTAGCAAAAAAGATATGAAACAACAGCAATAATACAGCCAACAGTTGAACATACAAGGAATATACTGCAAGTCAGTGAACAGTAGAAAGAAATATACAATGGATGTGGAGAGCAGCTTCTCCTAAACTCTTTACTGGGGCAAAACTAACTAAGGAGAATTACATCACTCTAACAGTTCAGCTGTCTGTAATATACTCTCTTCTGCTGGTCAGCTTGTTGGGGCCCAACTGTTATATTGGAGTGCTCAGGATAATGCCCCTTTAAACATTGACAATGACACTGACTTTGGTCCGTTTATGCACTGATAAAGTCACAAGTCTATTGATTGACTTGTGTATTACCAGCCTGATGGATATTTCCATAGCAAATCAGTGTCACCGGCTATAACCAGCAATGCTGATAAATGTATTCAACTGGCGAGGAAGGCTACCTGCTGGCAGAATACAATAGCTCCATGGGAAGGATGCCCCCATCCATGTTGAATGTGTGGAAGGGGGAATCAGCTTTTCTTTTTTTTTTTGTAACCTGCTGCTTGAAAAAAAAAAGAATAATATATGGCCTCCCTTATTCCCTCATTCAAAGTATGTGGCTGCATAGCAAAGTCTGTATAGGAATAAGGGATCTTTCACATAGAGCCAGTCTGCTTCATTCAGCAGAGAACCCATAAGCTGACTCCCTGCTGAATTGGACTTGAATGGAATAAATGTCAGTATTTTGACATATGTGTCTGTTCAGTTTGTGTCTGGTGGTTATGAGTGGACCTGTGAGAGTGCTATGAAAAGACAGATGCAAACACACTTGTATCCGTTTACACATTCATTTTCGTTTTTTTTTCCAGACCTGGATGGTCTCAAGTCCATCTACATCAGTCTGCCTATAGGGCTGAGTGGAGCTTCTAGATGGTCCTGATCGGAAAGCTTGCATGAAAAGGTCTTAAGAATGACAAAGAGAGAGTCTATCTGGGCAGCACATTGGCTAAATGGTTAGCACTTCTGCCTGGCAGTACTAGGGTCGTTAGTTTGAATCCCAACCACGGCACCACCTGCCTGGAGTTTGCATGTTCTCCCTGTGCTTGTGTGGGTTTCCTCTGGGTACTCTGGTTTCCTCCCACAATCTGAAGACATCCTGGTAGGTTAATTGAATCCTTTCCAAATTGGCCCTAGTATATGTATGTATGAATGTAAGTTAGGGACCTTAGATTGTACACCCCTTGAGGGTTAGGGACTGATGTGAATGTATAATATATATATATATGTGTGTGAAGTGCTGTGTAAAATTGACAGTGCTATATAAGTACATGAAATAAATAAATCTGAGGATCACTACTTCAGCAAAATAGTCCAGGACACAAAAAAGCTACTTGTGATTATCCTCATAAACCTCTCTCCTGTGAAACCTGCTCTCGGTACAGTCCATGGTAGCTCTGGTAACACAGGTGAAAAGTTGGAGGGATCCCAGGCCTTAGAATGTAGTGGGCCACTGCACTGGAACTAAAGTACTTTGGTAGTTGTTTGGGAGGTGCTTCCCACAGTAGCTGTGTTTACATGTTATTAGGCTCCTGCCCAGCTGAAGTAAAACTGGTTCTGACCGTGGAGGGTCTCTCACCTGGTTTCAGATCACTTTCCTAGCTACCTCTCTCTCTTTAGGTCTGAGAAGCAGAGAAATTCTATCTTCTCTGGGTGTGTCCAGAAATCCAGATAGCTACATGAAAAGCATGTAAATGGAAGCAGGATGCTTCTGTTAGGAGCTGTGTAGGACACCAGAAATGAAACCAGAATTGTCATCACACCAGTGAGGGCCACAATGTGGGAGGGTGGCTACATGTTTTGGAGCATAACTGCTCCTTTTTCAAGCCTTCCAGTCTTGTGCAGTCCATGCACTCCAAGGTGTCTCCAGGATTTCTGGTTTCGTTTTTGGTGTCCTACACAGTTCCTGACAGCAGCATATGCTTCCTGGCTTCTGAAAACACACTGAGGCCCAACAGCTAAAAGTAACTAATTACTCTAAAAGGTGTGCAAAAACAGCTAACAGCACTGAGTGTATGTCATGCTCTTGTAACCCCCTCCTAGTTTAGCTAGGGGAGAGCTAGATCCTTATGGTCCAGACCTAAATTCAACTGAGAATCTGTGGCAAGACTGTTCACAAATTACTGTTCACAGACGCTCTCCATCCAATCTGACAGAGCTTGAGCTATTTTGCAAAGAAGAATGGGCAAAAATGTCACTGTCTAGATGTGCAAAGCTGGGAAAGACATCCCCAAAAAGACTTGCAGCTGTAATTGCAGAGAAAGGTAGTTCTACAAAGTATTGACTCAGGGGGCTGAAT